CAAAGTTTCTCAGCATGTTGCTTTCGTTTTACTCACAATGGTTGTTAATGACTTTGAAGGTAAAGTATTTATGCTGTGGAAACTCAGTATTTCCTTTGTGGTTTCTTCTACTGCTTTTAAGTTTGATTTTCGTCCACCCAATATTTTCTTCTCCTTTTCAACAGTCTGATATTTGTTAACACTTTGGTCAAATGGATGGCGCAAGGCTAGTCTAATTAGTTGCCTCTTCTCAAACAGTGAACTATTTTTCCCAGTTCTCCTTAGTAAATAATCCCAAATTAAAATATTCCCAACAATGCTGGTGAGAAAAACGTTCAATGAGTCATGCGCAAAGTGCGACTCGAGTGTCAGACTGGCTGGTTGCTCCCACCGGCAGGTCTGGGCCACTCAGCCCCAGCAAGAGAGAGTCCAACAGCTCTGTTTACTCAGATGTAAACCCCTCCTAAGGCCCCACTTGCCCGCTCCCCACCCCTCCTGGCTTCCCACCCTCTGCTGCTTCTTGGAAGTGCCGGTAAAATTCTTGGAACTCCTGCCCAGATAGGTTTTGGGTATTACCTGGGGATTTCCAAAATCCAGGCCAGGACTCCCATGTACTCCTGCTGGGCTTCTGCTGACTTCTCTAAAGACCCTGACCGTCTGATCACCAGCTGAGCACCACAGGGAACATGACGGAAGGGACAGCCCATGCTTCCCAGCCCGACAGGCAGGCCGCGTAACGCTGAGCGGACCCCTCACCTGCTCCCCTGCTAACTCACATTACTGTGGAAAGACCACATTCACTAACAGTTAAAGCCACACACTTTAGAGTCCCAGCTACCTGGATTTGAATCACCAAAGTCTGCTTGTCAAGGCAAAGGCAAAGTTACCATCACTGAGTCTAAAATTCTGCGTCCGTAAAACGGGCATCAGGCTCACCTCTTGGGGCACCCCGAGGAGGATCCCCAAAGACGGTTAACTAAATCTTTACCACCACGGCGGTTAGTACTTGGCCTAATGGCTTTATCTGCTACCGGGGAATTCCTAGTGTGGTCTTCCAGGTACAAAGAGCCACAGCGTGTCTGGCTCATATTTAGGACCTCAGGAATGGATCCGTTTCCTCTGGCGTTCACCTTCCTGCAGCTTTCTGCCCCTTTCTCCGCACCCCCCCAACTCACCTACCCGCTCACCATTTCGTCCATATTTATTCAGTCATTATAGCCCTGGCCCAAGGTCACACACAGACATACCACAGACATGCCCAAAAGGTCATGACACTGACCTTCTGTCAGTATCAGGTGTGGGTCAGGCCCGGCCCACAGTGGGCGTCCGCGCTCCGGGTGCCAGGCGAGGCCCGTTACCCGGACGCTCTGGCCCGCCGTGCCAGGTACAGATCACCTCGGAAGTCACTTCAACACGGAGGTGCCGAACTGCTGACTCCTAGTCTCCTCACACCAGGGCCAGAAAAGTGTGAGGGAGGCAGGAAGACTAATTTGGGAGCAAGGCCTATTTCTGGAGCGTAACCGTGGGGGCCACGGAAGGAACATCACACCCTGTGAGAGCATCGTGGGTCATCCAGATGCTGCCTGAAGGACATGCTCGGGGCTGCCTTCGGCCGCACGCGGCCCCCAGCCCTGCCTGAAGAGGAGGGTCCTCGTCTGTGGAGAGGAAGGCGCGGACGTCCAACAGCCGGCCTCAGGCACGCCACAGTGGCCCGAGAAGCTCCTTAGAGCTTCCCCCCATAGAAACTGGAAAGGGGCAACAAGGGGGTTGTGGGGGGAGGTCAGGGACATGAAAGGAACCCAGAAGCAAACACCCACTGGCTTACTGGAGTTCTGCCCGGGACTGTCCCGAGCGGCCATGCTCGTGTGGGTGAGCGTGCGTCTGCGGAAGGGGCTGTGGGGCCAGGGGATACGAACGTGGGGCGCTGTGTGTGTGCTGGAGGCACGTCCCTATTGCCGTGGAGCAGCATCGGCAGGGGGTGCCCACACATCTGCTCTAAAGGACGATGATGTTGGGCACCTGGGTGGCTCAGTTGGTCAAGTGACTGCCTTCGGCTCAGGTCGTGATCCTGGAGTCCCGGGATAGAGTCCCACATCAGGCTCCCTGCTCAGCAGGAAGGCTATTTCTCCCTCTGACCCTCTCCCCTCTCATGCTCTCTCACTCTCTCTCTCTCAAGTAAATAAATAAAATCTTAAAATAATACATTTTAAAAATAAATAAAAAAATAAAGGACGATGACAAGAGCCCGGCGGAGGACACTTGGTGTACAGACCACAGGGGTTGACTGAAGACTTTTCTCTGCCCTCTCCTGCCGCCTCCCCCCCCAAGAAAAGGATCAGAGGCACTTCATCAGCGAATTTCAACCAGGTATTTTATTGTTCTGGCAACTGCAAAATATACAAATTTCTGAAAAGCATCCCGTTTGAAAGCTGGCACAGCCTCATCCCAGGTCATTAATTCAGACAGTGTCCAGAACACAGAGGAGTCGTGAGTCACACGTAAAAGGCCCCCAAACCAACCAACGCACAACAAAACCCGATCTATACAGCTTTCTCTGTTCAAGCTCCCTTATACATATTAAATAAATAAATAGCACATCTGCTATCAAAATAATAAAAAAATAAATTTCAAGTATTACAAACGAAAACATCATTGGTGTGGTTGTTTCTCCTCTCCCCATGGAGGACGAGCTTCGCCCGTGGTCTCAGGACAGAATAAGGACAGGGGGTGAGCCCACCCCAAAACAACGATGCCAAGTTAACAAAATTGGTCCCAGGTATTTTTCAGGGGGGAGGGGGTGAGAGGCGATATAGTCAGAGCAGCCGGAGCCCCCCGTGACCACAGCTCAAACAGGCCCTCCATCCAGCGCCTCGAGTCAGAGAGCGACCTCCGTCGGGAAGCACTGCGCTCTCTCTGGGGTCTCTCTCCTCGTCTGTGTTGACGTCCTCTGGCCCCATCGGGCCTGCATGAACGAATGTTCAGGTTGCTCGCTTCCGTAGGTATGGACCTTGGCAGCTGGAGGCCGGGGAGGGCACCCGCACACAGCCCCGGGGATCGGTGGGAAGGGTCAAAACTCAGTCGGCTCTGGTGGCCAGTGTGACAAGGAGGCCAGAAAGAGAGACTCTAAAAAGCCGTGCGCCGCAGGCCCTTCTGTCTAAAAAACGACCAACCTACCAGCACACGCTTGTGCGCACACACTTGCCATCTACCTAGACTCAAGGTGGCAACAAAGGGACAATAACCCATCTTCAGTCACACAGGAACACAGATGTCGGACATCATCTCGGGCAAAGTGCCAACTGGGGAAGAATGGGGGAGGATCTGAATGTTCCGGTGTGAAATCCGTGAACTTGACTGTACGGTAGCAGAAGCACGTCCCAGTGCCCCACTGAACCCCAAGCAGAGAAACATGCATTGTCTGACCCCCGCTCTGGATGTCCGAGCCCCCCACCCCCACCCTGACCCGACCCCCAGTACCTCTCTCGTCAGCTCAAAGGGGTGAGACCGTCAAGCGTGAAAGCAGAGGGTGACCCAGGGAAGTGACCTTTGGCACCAGCTTTTGGAGATTCTTCGAAGGGTCATTTGGACAAATTCTACCACAGAGTCTCCAAATCGTTTCTTCTGGGGCCTCCGGACGCCTTGTCATCTCCAGTCCACGGAGACAGCAAGGAGAAACCAGGAGGCAGAAGCTACAGGTGTTCAAAACCACAGGTCCCACAGCCCTGCTCTGAACCACCCCCAGAAAGGCCACAGGAGCCATCATGGCAAACGAGGACCTGCCCTTCTTCGGAATCCCAAGCAGCCCAGCCCCGGGCCAGGTGTATAGCAAACGCTCCACGAAGACAGGCAGGATGGAGCTCAGGCCTGCCAGGAGCCCAGAGAGTCTCTTGGAGGAAGCAGCTACAGGTGGCAGGGTGGGAGGGGGTGTCCCGGCTGGGCCACCAGACCCACCCGGGAAGCACAGGGTGACCGTGAACATCCTGAAGGAAGGACGCCAGAGCCTTGCTCATCTCTGCTCTGCCTCCGGGTCAGTCGGGCATGGATCCGAACAACTTGCTTCCCAGCTGCTGGACTGGGGTCCCTTTGAGCTCCCCATCTCATGCACATGCCGTTCCCCATGTGCTTTCCGAGCTCTAGCACCCGAGGGCACGAACCCCAAACATGGAAGTTCCGGAAGAAAAGGTGCAACTTTCCTGTCCACCTCCAGGAAGGAGAGCAGAAATGGCAGAGCGGCCTGGGCAGGGGAGGCCCCGGAGCTCTTCCGGCACCATAGTTCCTTTTGCTGACGCAGCCAGACTGCCCTTGAGCATCTCCAGAAGCAGAATGCGGACCCAGGAAGGAAGGTGTGGCCCATGGCAGGGTGACAGCCCATCCGACACACGCGTCTGGCTCAGAGCCTTCTCCCTCCACCTCCGGCCCAGCCCGGGCGCGGGCCTGAATCCTTCCTTCGCGAGGCAGCAAGTGTCCATGCCGCGATGCACAGAAGAACCTTGTGAAAGTTCTCACCATCCCTATCCTCTTCAGCAACTGGGATCTAGGCCCCCCTTTTAATTTTAGGATTCTGGGGCCAAGCGTCTTCTCCCCACGCTGGGAACATACCGGGTTAGGATCACAGAAACTAAACAAACAGAACAGCATGAAGGCCGACGTCCCCTCCTCGGGGCCTTCTCCCAGTTCCTCTTCCGTGGCTCATCGTCCTTTCCGAGCCACACGGAGGGTCCGTGGGACCAGGGGTGGCGTGGGATGAGGGCAGCCACGGCGTAGATCCCACACACGCACACGGGAGAGGCCTCCTGGGGTCTCAGCTGCCCCGCCACGGTCGGGGGCATGGTTCTCTCCGACCAGCAGGCCCCTCTTCCATACCACCCACCCCACTCCAGAAGTCCTTGGGATCGCTGGCCTCGGGCAGATGGGAAAAGCACTAAGTAAGCTGCAGGAATGGAACTGGGATGGAACCGCCGGGTCGGCCTCAGTGTGTCCTCGCGTCGATGCCGCTCTGGGCGCCTTTCATGTTCTGTTTCCAGGAGAAGAGAGGGCGAGGAAGAGGGATCATTACTTCTTGTCCACGAGGCTTCTAAAGCCAAAGACTAAAGCCATGCAGCTGAGATGACCCCCTCCATCACACAAAGAGCACAACCCGGAAGAGCACTGTCGCCAGACAGGTGGAAGAAAGCCCAGGTCGGCTCCAGGACCAGTGGAAGTCACGCCCAGCGTCGCCCCGAGAAGGGCCACGGCAAGGGCCCCTGGGGCAGAGGCCTGACATCTGCCTCTAGGAAGCAGGGAAGAACAGGCAGCCCTCGTGGGTGGGAGCTCCGGGCAACACCCAGCGCCAGCGCCAGGAGCCCTCCAGCTCACTTAGAGCCATGAAACTGCCCCGCCTGCCCCCCCTGCACCCCCTGCCCCCAGGGAACTCCAGCTGCTCTGCAGCCAGGCAGGAGATGGGCCGGGAGCCCTCCAGAGAGGCAGGAGGGCTCTTCCCGCAAGGAGATCGTGCACTCCGGCCCTTGGATGCCAGGTTCTATCTAGGAGCATGGGCTCGGCAGCCAAAACATGGGGGCCGCTGGCCGGCGGGATGGCACGGGGAGGACGCACACAAGGAAGCCAGGCAGTGCCACCAAGCTCTCTTCCTGTTCTAACAAAAGCAATCCTTGCTGGAAGTCCCACCCCTACAAAGCCAACCAGGATCAAATCCCCTTAAAAAGCATTTTCAGTCAGTGGGGGCCAGATGGCAGCCATCACTGCATGGTGGCGGGCTCTTTCCCAACCTTCACCCACCCCGCCAAGAAAGGAAACACAGGTTTTTCAAAGTGTTCTCTCCCATCCTGTCTCCGCTGAGACCGTCTGCGGGGGGCGGGGTGAAGGGGAGAGCGGAACCCGGGCACACAGGGGTGCAGGGACCCTGGCAGCCCCCTTTGCCCCAGGCTCCCGTGCAGAACCAAGGGCCCACAGTGGGGATGCCTGGAGAAGAGACTAGGGCTCAGCCCAGGTCTCCTCCACCTCCTGTCGTGGGTTCACAAGGCGGTGTCTGTTGGGTGGGCATCTCCCCGGGAGGATCTCTAAGCCTTGCAGCCTGCCACTGATGGGATGGGAGCTCCAGGAGCTGCCCAGGCCCCCGCAGCAGCTGGCTTCCCCCCCCTGCCCTCGGACCTCTCACGCCCACGGCTCCGGGCGCCCACGAATGATGACAGATGCAACAATGACATTGGGGCGTGCAGGCACGGGGCACGTCACATCACTCACGCATGGTGCCCTGGCTCAGGCCATATGGAGGAAAATGAGGGAGAGAGAGAGAGAGGAAGGACCTTGAGACAATGGTGCTGCTTTGAAACAACACGAGTTCTCCGGCATGGGGTGCATGAGTCACAGACTTGACAATGGCCAGTCCTCACACAGACCGATGCCCCAACAGGCTGAGATGCCATGACCCAGGGAGAGGTGGAGGGGACAGAGAGGGACATGCACCGAGCCATTTACCTTGCCAAGGTTAGTAAGGAGAAAACTTTGAGAAAATGTGACAAACAGTTCGTCTTTCAAGCATAGTGGGGGGAAGGGAAGAACATGTTGGGAAAGAACAGAACAAAACATCTTTAGTAGCATCTCCTTTGTTGTGTGTGCACTCGCAATTTAAAAATCAAGGATGCGTGAGGTCCTACAGCCGGAGCACTCGCACCGCCCCAGGGGGAGGACGGCAGGTGCAGCATCTGACCAGGCTGGCGGGCCTGTTTCACCAGGAAACTACGGTGGCCAGTGTCCTCGGGCCACCACCCGGAAGCTCCCAGGGGTTCTCCCCACTCCCCCCGTCTCTCAGTACTCCTGCTGCTCATGAGAAGAAACCCCCTGGCCTGTGCAGAAGGAGCGGGGGTGGGGGGCATCCAAATGCAGAAGGAGCACAAACGCAGTGCCTAGGGCATCCCAGCAGAGCCCGGGGCACTGTCTCTACCGTGGTAACGGGTGGTGTCCGGCCGGGCACGGACTGTGCACCGCTGGCCACTCTGCTAAGCGCTGCGTCTATATTCTCATGACCAAAACACCACGTACCGTTCCCGCATCCATGTTACAGACGAGGAAGCAGAAGTGCTAGAACTGCCCAGAATTCCAAAGATGGAGGGTGGTAAAACCAAGACCCAAACCAGGCTCGGTTGGACTTGAGCACTGAGAAGTGGGTACCTGCGACCTCGGACGTGGGCTCACACTCCCAGGTGGGGCCAGACACTGGGACCCCAGAGTGGAATGCAGGTGGACGGGTGCAGAGGACATGCTTTTGCTGAACTGGAGGGATTCCAGCTGAAGGCACTATGAGCCACAGAGACGGGCAAGTTTCACCTTAGGAGGTGGGGGGATGCGTCCGAGGGGCACCCTGCAGCCCGAAGGTTTCTTCCCTGGTCACACCAGGCCACGGCTCAAAAGGAGCAAGACATGCACAGGATGCAGAAGTAGAAGGCTCCAGATCCGAAGGCCAGTTTCACCAGAACGCCTGCTCTAGAAGCCCTCGGTTACAGTGGTTGGCTACCAGGAGGTAGCAGACAGGGGACAGGTCGTCTTTAAGACAGAATTCCCCGCAGTAAGGAAACACCCTAGCTGCAGAGGGCAGCTGCATGGGAGAGCCTTCTCAACTAAAAAGGACATCCACGCAGCTCTGAGCAGTGCCCCAGGGGCCTCAAACGTCAGGTGCCCAGGCCAGGGGTAGGTGAACAGGACCTGACTGTCCCCAGAAGCCAGCAGAGAGAAGGCGGTCACAGCCTTCGGGAGAGGGAAACGGACCCATTCATGTCCTGGCTCTGCTACCGACCAGCTGGACGGCCTCAGGCAAGTGACTTACCCTCGTTCATCTGGTAAAAAGGGATAAAACTACCCTATGGACCTCTTGAAGTTATTTTAAGGCCCAAAGACATGGAACATAGGCAAGCAAGCCCCTTTTCCATGAGCCATAAAGGAACGCAAAACAGATTTCGCCGCCATTGGGGCGACCTAATCTAAGCACGATGTTAAACACCTATTTTCCAAGAACGAGCCACACTTCCAAGCTTGCAGGCCGAGCTCCTCAAGCCAGTTCTATTCCTGCACCCATGACTCAGGTGACCCAACCAGCAAAAGGGAGGATGGGCAGGTAGTGGGACCTGAAGGGCTGGGGAAGGGGACAGATCGTGGCGCCTGTTAATGGAACGCCAAGACAGAAGGCCTCAGCTCCTTCTGTGGTGGGGACCACCGCAGCAGTGGAGACTCTGAATTCTCTAGCAGCTGCTCTGCTCCAGTGGACACCTAGCCGGTTCCAGGAGAACTCCGGTGAAGGACAGGGGAAACCAATGGGTCTGATTCGAGTGGTGCACCCACTTCCGGTCATGACCCTTCAGGCTAAGCAGATGCTGGTACAGGACAACCAGATCCACAGCAGTGGTTCCCAAACCGACCTCCAGAGTGCCAGGGTCCTGGGGCGCCCAGGGGAGTGGGTCTCTGCTCGGACAGAAGGGAGAGCCTACGGGGTTGCAGGCCCACCACAGTCCCCCCCCCAGCAGAGTCTGTCCTTTGTTTTGCAGACAAGGCTCTGGGTTACTTTTCCTTTCAACACGAAAGGCCTCTCCTAGGGCAGGTACAAGACGTAAAAGTCGACGCATCAGGCTTGAGGCCTAGCCTGGTGCCAAAATCAGAAAAAAGCAGATTTATGTCAAGCCGGGACCACTGCAAGCACCAGCAGTAGCCAGGGGCCCGGGGGACATACAGGAAGCCGGCTGTGGCAAGTGGCGGCAGCAGGACGCCCTGGAGAGAGCTGGGCCGGGCTGCTTCTTGCCTCTTTTTCTAAAAATTCATGAATCCCCCTCCGCCGCCCCCAAGGCCATCTTTCTCTGTCAGAGAGGACAAACACGGCCATCGTCCTGCACACCTTATCAGGCAGGAGGCCACACTGGCAAGCAAAGTGAAAGAGGTGCGAGTAGCAAAATTATCCAGAGAAAAATACTTACAGACAGGCCTTCCCTAGCAAAGGCTGCAGAGAGCAAACGTGGAGAGAGAAAGAGAAATCAGTAGAGGGACAGCGTAGAGGCCCCAAGTATCTGAAACCGGGACATTCTCTGCTGGGATGAAGCCCTGTGGACTCTTTCGCCGGGCCCCACCCAATGGCTGCCAGACTCCAAGGACTTTGAACCTCGAAGGACTGTCCTGTCGAAGTCGGGGGGAGTCCTCTGTGACCCTGCAGCACAGCCCCAGGTGCCACCCAACGCCAGCCTGGGCCAGTCCCCCCAAGTACGTGTGGCAGCGGCCTCCTAACTTCCAACTGTGACCCCACAATTCACACCAAAACTGAATGTCACCCAGAAACCACTTCAGTTCTCAGTTTTCATAAAAAGACCAGGTAACATCTTACAAGCGGGGGCAGAGATGGACACCAGCGTGCGAGACGATCAGCACGGAGGACCCCGTCTGAACCGCCTTCTGTAGTAGGTGCTCTTTCCCCATTCCACAGCTGGGAAAACTGAGGCCTGAAGAGGCTCGGTGGCCTGCCTGAGGCGGCCTGGCACTCCCCACCCCACTGCACAACGCCAAGGGCAGACACCACGAGATTTAAATGAGCCTCAGCCTGCGACTTCTTTGTGAAGAGCCCAGACACGGTGGGAGGAGAGCGGCGATCTCGAGGTGGCCCTCAAATCCACGCCTGGGGACTGCTAGGTCTCACAGACTGGCAGAGTCCTGGCTGCCACAGAGAAAAGACTGCTCTTCTGAAAATAAATCCTAATGCCCAAGAGCCAACATCTGTCAGCTTTTCCTCTTCACAGCAAACCCAACAAGTGAAACTAGCTGGGTTTTTGCTTTCTGGTGTCTTTACGACCTGGTACTCTGTGACACCCGTGGTGTGAGAAGGTGTCCCTCCCCGGGCCACCCTGTGCGTGTGGCCGCCCGGGCTCTACCCCGGCTCTGGAGGAGAACGTGCTTCTCTACAACACGGCCTGGGAGGGGGCATGTAAGGAAGCTCCTCGACTATCGGCCTGGGACTGAAAAGGGGTCCTCGGGCCATGTGTGGCCCATGACCCAGAGCTGAAGGGACACTCCTGAACTAGGCCTTCGTCTTCCATTTTGTTTGAGGAAAAAAGTATTCAGGAATGTGTGTGGGACACAGACACTTGGCCATTTCTTCTACCCTGCCCAGCTCTGCCCCGTGAAGAACAGCTCCTCAGAAAGGAGGCACGTGTGCGCAGCCCTGGCCGGCGAGGAAGGACCCCAGGGTGCCACGAACCTTGTGGGCAGGGTGTGTCCACGTGCTGTCCCCCTCCCCCACCTGCACATGCAGGCCTGGTCTGAGGCCGCCACTGCCCACGGGGGCTCTCCTCCCGCCCCACACTGACTGTGAGAAAGGAAAGGGGCCAACGCACTTGTCCGGGCAGCTGGGAGGGCACCTCCGGGGGCAGGCAGTTGGGCAGCGCAGCGGAGGTCGAAGCCACATGCTCCTCAAAGCTGTTGATGCGAGGCTTTTTGGTGGGCTCAGGGCTGGCTAGTGGGGTGACACTATTGCGTCTCATGAGCGGGTTAGGTCCCTTCTTTGCGTCCTAAGCGAGACAAAGACAAAAGAGAGAAGGCGACAGTTACAGGGAGTGGGGAGGTAAATAAGCCAAAAACCAGAAAACCAAAAAACCAACCAAACAAACAAAAACCCCCAAAACTGAACAAAACACGTTTCTCTGCTTCTGGATTTTACGGATTCGAAACTGACCATGGTCACTAGCCCTGGGACCACAGGGTCGCAATTTGGTCCTGTGACTCCCAGATAGCAAGAACGAGGGAGGGTGCTCGTTCCGAGGGCTCATGCTAAGCCCCTTCCGGCCAAAACATTCCAAGATGCCCACTCGGACCAATGCGACATTCACAAGGTAGGTGAGGGCCGGACAGCTCTGCAGACACTCATTCAGGCGCGGCAGGTCATGAGACTGGAGCAAAGAACCTTGCTGCCAGCCTTCAAGAGAGCCGAGAAAGGGAAGCGGAGGCCTGAGTGCAAGGCTCGGGTCCCCACCGAGGGGACAAAGGAGGGGGTGGGGGGGAGGAGTCAGCTCCCCCACTGACCACGAGCTGAGGTACACACAGCAGACGGGGTGGTCTCCGGCTCCCCATTACCACGCCCTGGCTGAGAACAAGAAATGCAAGCTTCAACCCCCACCAGGAGACCAAAGTGGCAGAAAATCATAGGTGGGCAGAAACGGCAGAGCCAGAGCCAAATGCCAGCCTTCGGATCAAGTGACAATGCAACGGGAATGAGGACTTTTGTCCCAAGGCCCCGAGACTCTGCAGCCTGCAGAGGGGCCTGAGTGCAGGCCTGTGACCCTCCCGACACGGCCCCGTTCCACACAACGAGGGGCTCGGGAAGCACCAGAGCCCAGCTGCGGCCCAGCCCCCCCCGGCTGAGTCAGGCTGGGAGGCTGCTTCTCACCCCACCGCCCAGGTTCAGAAGTGGGGGCCGTCACAGGGCCGTGGCTGGCCGTCCATCCTCCTTCCCCTTCAGGCCACCAGCCAGGCAATGGCTGCTGGAAGGTGGGATTTTTCATGCCAAAATATTCTGGCCGAGCTCCTTGGGAACAGGGAGGTGGGTGTCCTGCACGGACAGGAACATCACACTCCGTGGAAGAGAAAGGGTCACCTGGCGAAGTGTCGTGGTTTGACAGTCGGTGAAAAGCAAATCCAATGTTCCTTCCCAACCACGCCCGGGCGGCGGTCTGCTCTGCCCATGGCGGGCCCCAACCTGGCTGCTTCCCTGAGAAATCAGATGCCACCAGGCCTGGGGTCTCCTGATGAAACCTTCTACCTACTGTCCCTCGAGTCCCTACTTCCCAAACCACAGCGCCTGTCCAACCCCACCCCCTTGCCACCACTTTCATCTTTTTGCTCATTCTGCAGCAAGATGACTGAGCGATTTGCTAATCCCGTTTGCACCAGTCACTCTAGGACACGGAAGGTGTCTCAGCCCCCCCAAAGGAAAAGACGCCGGCTGGGCTACAATTACACTCACAAGAGGGGACTGTGTCTTCCGCCTTAATACCCACTTCCTGGGTCACGTCGAAAGTGGGGGCAGAAAGCGTGGAAAGTAAGAAAAAGAAGCAGGCAAGAAGCCACGTATAAAGACAGAGCGGAAACACACACACGGCTGAAAAGGAAAGGCAGGGGAGGACGTCACAAAGACCGGCTGATTCCAAACAAACCGCTCCAGCGAGAACCCAGGGCTGAAGGGGACACAGGTGCATGGCTACAGGCCACGCCACGTGGGGGCCTCCCTAGGGATCACAACCGCTAGCCCTGTCACACCACAGAGACCCCCCAGGACGGAGGATGACCACGGGATGGTGGGGTGCACTCACCTCTGACCTCTCCCGGTGTGTGCTCACCGACTCCACGTTCAGGTAGATGGACTCCACACGGCAGCCTGCGGGGGGTGGGCACAGGGGTTGGCTTCCAGGGCAAGAGGCCAAGCCACTTCCAGCCCTGGAGCCACCAGGAGCCACCATCCCAGGGGAGCAGGGTGCGGCACGGGCCACGTCACTACACTCACCATAAGCGACAGGTGTCAGTTTGAGGACTGTGTGAAGGGGGCACTTCAGATAAGGCATCTCTTCTGAAAAGAAGAGAAAGGGCCCCACGATGAGAGATGAGCCTTGAGGACAGACACTCGCCGGTCCCCAGGGACAGCTTCTGCCACGGCATCAGCACCCGTGGGGTCCCCGCCAAGCACAAGCATCTCCACCCCACACAAGGCCCCCTCCTGCCAAAGAACGTGATCAAAACCAACCCCAAACCCACCCTCACACAATGTACTAGAGTTTTCAAAAAAAAGTCATTCCCCAGTTTAAGCGCATGGGGATTCGGGTGACGCTTGGGTAGACACAGGCTTAAATTTTAAGTCTCACGAGTTTTCTGGGCACTTTGTTCTTTAGAGGTGGACCCAACCCCCGGCCCAAAGCCCCCGGGGATGTGAGCAGCTGTCCTGGGAGGCTGTTTCACAAAGCCCTTGGGCCCATCAGACTGTGCATGGAACCGGGCTCTGAAGGCTCTCCCGAGGGCTGGCCAGGAAGCCCTGCGCTGCGTTGTCTCCCCTCACACTCAGCAGCACAGCAGACGACCGTGTGGTCTGGGTGGGGAAGGTCTGGGTCTGCAGCACCCCACACTCCAAGGCCAGTTTCCCTCTTCCCTTCTGGGGAGCCCAACAGGCTCCTAATCCCAGCCCCCACCCAGAGGAAGCCTGGAAGGACAGTGGCACCTGCACTCTTATCCAGGAAGTAGGCCAAGAGGCAACGCAGGACGGCCTGATGGCAGATGACCAGCACGTTCTCCTGGCGTTCCAGCTCCATGATCACCGGCTCCAGGCGCTGGACCAGGTCCTGGTAGGACTGCAAGACAGAGGGACAAGGACGTTGAATTGGAGCAGAGGCACATGCGGGAAGGGTAGGAGCTCGGCCACCTCAGTCACACCTCTTCTGTGGTCAGAAACCAGAGCACACGGAATCAACTGAGCCACCGGTCGCCAGCCAGTGGTACTTCCGTGGTGCCTCCCTTCTGGGCGCTGGGGGACCCACTGGCTTCTCAGGAAAGGGGATCGTTCCCCTGTTGTACATTCTGAGAGAAACGTAAACCATCCTCTCTCCTGGCTGCTTCCCGATCCTCCACAGGGGGAGGGAGGGAATGACATCCTGACACGTGCTTACAGCATGGGGAGACGCCAAAGACCACGTGTTGTACGACCCCATTTCTATGAACTGTACAGAACAGACATCTCCCCGGAGACAGAGTAGATCCGTGGTTGCCGGGGCCTGGGGGCAAGGAGTCACAGGCTGCGGGTTCTTATTAGAATGTTCTAGAACTAGTGATAATGGTTCCACAGTATTGGGAATATACTAAAAGCCACTGAATCATCTACTTTAAAATGGCAAAGTTTACGTTATGGGAACTTCTCAATAAAAAGAAATGGAAAAACAAACGATTGGCCTGTGGCTTTTAAAAAAGACCACCAAGGCTCTCACTCACGCCACTCCCTCCGTGCCCACTCTCTTTCTCTTACTAATCAGGTTCCAGGAACGGGGCCAGGGTCACAGAGGAGGTCAGCACCCTGAGCACGCGGGAACGGAGACATGACAAAGACTGAGACAGCCTGCAGACAGCAAGGACCCACTAGGTGTCACCCAGCGGCCTGAAGCAGAGCCTGAGGGCACCCCACATTCCAGAGGCTCCGTCCAGCGCTCACACGGCCAGATAGGGCCACACGTGGCATCAAGTCAATGAGTGCACGTGACCTGAGATGACACGTCCACCACCTTGTCTGTACCCAAGGGGGGGTCCCTTGTGCAGAGCGAATGATCGCCCAACTGTTGTCCTCTCCTGCTCCATGAGGGTCTCATCAGAGAAACACCTCTGGCCGTTGCTCCCGGGAGAACAAAGTGCGCTGCTCCCGGAGCTGTGTGCAAGGTTCTCCGGAGTATGACAATCGGCGGGGACAGCACCAGGAACACGCATGGAAGGGGCACGGCGGAGGCCGGATGCAGGAGCCCTTCCGCCCCACCTCCCAGAGCTCGCGGCTGCTGCGGTCACTGGGGGGGCGGCCGCCTGGGCCCCCGCACCCGCTCTGGGCCAGTGGGGAGCAGGCGCACGTACCTCCCCCGTGGGGTAGCGGTAGTAGTACTTGTCCTGTTCCCGCAGGGCGTACTCCTCGGGGTAGGTGTCCTTGATCTCCTCGTATGTCATCTCCTCACAGACGCCCTGGGGGGGGGGGGGGACCCGAGGGCACGGCGAGGGGCCCCCCCCCCCCCCAGCAGCACGTGGGCCTCTGCCCGGGGTCTGACTCCGGGGGCCCGGCGGGAGGAGCCCGCCCCGCCCCCCGCACCCCCCCCCCCGCCCCCCCCCCACCCCCCCCGCCCTCCCCCCACCCCACGGCCGAGGTCGGTCGAGCGCTCACAGCGTCGATCTCGTTGAGCGCCTTCCACTGCTCGTAGGGCAGGCGCAGCGCCTCGGCCGTCTGGATGGTGCTCTTCAGCTGGCTGGTCCACACCCTGAGGTCCTTCAGGTTCTGCTCCTCCACGAACTTGCTGAGGGCGTTCGCGAACTGAGAGGGCGCGGGACAGGGGGACCCGGGCTGGACTCAGGCTCCTGCCCCGCCCCCCAGGACGCGTCCCACTCCACAACAGGGACATCGCTCTGCTGCCATCAGAACAACGGGGACGAACGAGCCCGGGAGCCACCGAGGAGCAGCCCCCCGCCCACCCCCCGCAGGCGCACCCTCCCCGAGGACCTGGGAGGCCCAGGCCCCGCCCCCGCCCCCCCAGAGGCGCGCATGAGCATGCGACACCCACCGGGTCCCTCCGCAGCGCGTCCTGCCCCTGCTACCCTACCTTCCTGCCCCGGCTGGACAGGCCCGAGTCCCCTCCGATCTTCCCCTGGAGGTTGTGCTCGCTCTCGCCGTGCCGACACAGGTAGATGGCGCGGGGCTGCACGTGGATGTTCATCAGGTAGTACACGATGCGGCTCTGGATGTGGTCCTGGACCCTGTTCACCAGGAACCGCCGGCCCACGTCGATCACCTTGATCAAGGACAGGTCCCTGCAGGGGAAGGCACGGCGCTGACCCACGGTCCCCGGACCGCGCAGCCCCACCCCGCCGGACCCGGCCGGAAGCTCGTGGCGGAGACTCAGCCCCGGAGAACCCCCACGTCCGGCTGTGAGCTCGGTGAGGGCCCCCGCGGCGTCTGCTGTCTCGGACACAGAACCGGCCCGCACGCGTGGTCGCGAGGCCCCTGCCTCCCAGAAGAGGGGGCCAGCCAAGCGACAGAACAGACCAGAAAGGACACAGCAAAGGGACAGGAGCAAGACTGGGCTCAGCATACACCTTCCACACCCGAACACAGTGAGCGCCTGAAACACTGACTCCGGACATGCAATCGAGAATTTCTATATTATTTTCAAAAATATTTCATTTATTTATTAGAGAGAGAGAGAGAGAATGAGCAGGGGGCAGGGGGCAGAATGAGAGGGGGAAGCAGACTCCCTGCTGAGCAGGGAACCCACTGCGGGACTGGATCCTACGACCCCAGGATCATGACCTGAGCTGAGTTAAGCAAACGTTTAACCGACTGAGCCACCCAGGCACCCAAGGATTTTTTTTAAAAGAGGTTTTAAAAGAGCTGATGAAAGGACGCCTGAGTAGCTCAGTTGGTTGAGCAACTGCCTTCGGCTCAGGTCATGATCCTGGAGTACCAGGATCGAGTCCCACATCAGGCCCTCTGCTCAGCAGGAAGCCGGCTTCTCCCTCTGCCCCTCACCCCTCTCATGCTCTCTCTCTCAAATAAATAAAATCTTAAAAAAAAAAAAAAAAAAAGAGCTGATGAAAGTATCCAGGAGCAAGCACTTTGTGGGGACGGCAAGAAAACACTAAAGCAGGGGACTCAGAAACGGTCACGTCTTAGGAATTACCTATCACATTTGTCAGGGTCGAGGGGCTGATAGCTGGCTTCATAGCAACTGATTCGCTTCATGAAATCGTCCATAGCTTCCGCTGAGTTGCAATCTTTGTAATCCGGGCTGGAGATTTTAACCTCCTGTAACACCACAAAGAGGCAGCTGATGAATCATGCTGTGAAGGCTTTCTGCTTAGACGAAGCAGGATTTGAGGCTTGCAAACGGGGAAAGTACAGAGCAGCTCAGAATAATGATGACCATACCCGGCATTTAAGAGGAAAAAAAGAAATACACCAGGGGTTGAGTCAGAGCCCGATGATTACACTGGGAAGCACCCACGGGAGACAGAGGATCGCTCCCTGGAAGGATGGAGACAGGAAACCCACAAGGATTCTAATGAACACATCTGAATGGGCCACGCTTCCGGATCGACCCAGTAGCTAGGTCACCATCAGACTGCCCACCCTCAATTCGAGTTCCGGATAAGCATCTGAGACGTTCCCCACACCAACAGCAGGCTGCTACTTAGCAGCCTTCCTGCCACCACCCATGTGGGGCACCACAGGCTTGTAACTGGTCCCCAGTTAGGCTTCTCCACCTGGACCACACACCCCACCCTTTCAAAGGCTTGCTCTCCTGGGAAGGAAGTGAAGCAAAAATGACCCTCAGACCCACCATCTCCGATAAGTGACAGGGCTGAGCAACGGGACGGATTGGAGGGAAACTCAGAATTTGTTAACGCAGGTGTTCTTTTCCCCTACAACGTCTAGCACTGCCACGAGAGAGGCTGGCACTCTTCAAAAACCCAAGTTAAGTGGGGGACTAGTGCTTCACGGTGCAGAGTCTCAGTCTGGGAAAATGAAACATTCTGCCCATCGGGGGCTGGTGGGGAGGGGAGGCGGGGTGACCATGGCGAGGGAGGTGTGAGCATGCTGAATGCCCACACGCTGGCACACTTACACGGGTCAGACGGCCAGTTTGGTCTTCTGGATATTTTACCAGTGAAAAACGATCTAAGTTCCCAAATCCCTTTTCCCCTAGCACGGCCACCGCAAAGAGTGCCATGGAAGGGCCTAAGCCCTGCTCTGGGGCTGAGGCGGAGCCCCGGGTTTCTGAAATGGGGAAAATGACCAGGTGTCTCAGTGGAGCACGAGGTAAGCGGCGAGCTCACTGCGGAGCATGGGGGGACACTCGCTGTGGAAAATTTAGTTGTGTACCTGCCCGGGGCCTCGCTACCAAGCAGAATAGCAGAACCAAACCCAAGAAACACAGCAAAACCCTTTGTTCAGATCACAGCAACTTCTGTCCTACGTCCCCGTAATTTTGCGCCTTCTCCTTTGGACACACTGAACTAATCCCGACAGACTGTCCACAGTCTGAAGAGCCCTTCCTGAAACATAAACTCATTTCCTAGAAACGCTCATAAGTATTCCCACTGCCTTGGAGAAGAGTTCCAGTGCCAGAAGCCAGTGACTCTCCAGCCACTCTGCGTACAGCCAACCGGAGCGTCCCCCTGCACAAGCATCAGCACTGCTTCTCATTAGAAACACGCCGGATTCTCCTGTGTTTAAGCTGGAGAGAAAACGGTCTCCTTGGGAAGGCGACCTGTGGTAAAGTCCTCGTGGTAACTGTTTCCATTTAGGATGTATTGCTCTCAAGCAGCAGACTTTAAGAATTGATCAAATTAAGCCGCCAACTACCCTCAGCTGATCTGGGCAAACCTCCCCCTCGGCACCGGGAGAGAAAGGAATGTCACAGATACAGAAGCGGGAAGACTTTTACTGCCTCCATTCTTCCCACAGCTGGTGGTTCTGCCTTTGAAGTGGGCCGCGACCTACGGAGTTTTACTTGGTCGTTCTTACTAAGGACCTTGACAGCTGAAGAGTCCAGCTCACTGCCTCCTTCCCCAGCTGGAGGGGTAAGCTGCCCTTTGCCCCTGTCCCCCCCCAAGGCTGCCAAGCTACTGCCACTCACAGAAACTGTGCCCAGTCCCCTGCTTCATCTCTTACGTCCCACAAAGACTGCTTTCTGGCAACCGTCTGCAAGGAGCCCAGATAAAGCCAGTCCAGGTCCGAGAACACGCTTCTAAGTTAAATACCACTTCCTGCCTCCCTGGACCCCACCTCTCACACAAAACCAACAAGCTGTGAGAGCCCTCCGCTCTCAGCGTCTGGTTATTGCTCTGGGCCCTGGTCCCCACTTTTCTCTCACTGCTGCCCTAGACTGGGGTCCTACGCGCTCTTACCATGATGTTGGAGGCTACAACCATAGGGTCGTCGCACACAGACTCGATGAAGAACACCTGGAAGGAAGCAAAGCGGAAAGTTAGGAAACAACAAATGTGATTAACACAAAGGGCGGACTTTGGTGTCACTCTGATGTCACCACATCCGAGGAGGAAGGACCCCATTTATAAACACCCAAACACATAAAATGAACCACTTGCTCAATCCCGAGTCCGTCACCCTCCCCGTTTCCCAAAGTAACCCCTCAGAGCCCCACCAGTGAGACCCAACCTCCAGGCAGCAGAGCAAGGGCAGTGGGAGGTAAAGAACCTGGGGCCCCGGACACAGGAATCAGCCCGTCCCCGAGGTGCGTGTTCTCCCTGCTCCTACATACTCCAGAGCAAGACAAGGAGTCTGGCTCACCTTGAAATCATTTTCTTTGGCAAAATGAAGGATCATGTGTCTCCTCTCTCTGGTAGTGTTGGTGGCATCGAAAACCTGATGGGGAGAAACAAGGGCAGTGAAGAGAAGAGCCCAGGTGTCAGACGAATAGTATTTACCAAAGCACAAGTAGGTCGGGCCTGTCACCTCTAGGTGTGAGCCAAAACTGGTTCCAGGACAGACCATGCCCCGTGCTCCTGCCCCCACCCCGCCTGGCCTTCCGGTGCCTCTGGCACTCGGGGACAGATAGGAGGGTGGGAAGGGGACCTAAAGCAAACAAACACCAGCATCGCACAGGGGAGGGTGCCCACGGAAGGGACACCCGCTGCCATGGCGGGAGCGACCCCAGGCCCAGCCTGCCTAGGAGGGTAGGGTCCGCACAGAGGGGTGAGCAGAGCACACCAACCAGCCGTGCCCGAGTCTGCACCCAGTTCACTACCTTCCTGGGTCCCTGTGCCGCTCCAGCCACCCGCTTCCCCAAACTCTCAGGATGGTGGCCCCTGTCCCTGTTGGAGGGGTCCCTGCAGTGGCTCTGGGCACTGCTCTGACCTGTGTCTACACCTCCCTCCCTCCAGGGCACCATCCGGCTACGGGCGCAGGAGACAGAGCTGGCAATTCCCCAGACTCACCGCAATCTGGCCCCCCTCCTTGGTCAGGTAACTTTTGACGTCCCTCAAGGCAGCGAGCGCGCACTGCCTGCAGCACAGAGAGAGAGAGAGAGCGCCTGCCTCAGACCAGCCCGGCCCGCGGGGAGGCCCAAGCGGCCCCCCATCATCGTAAGCAACAGAGCGACCGGCCACTCCGTCGCTGAGCTGCCAGCCCTGGCCCCACAGCCCTGCTCTCGGGGCCACATGGCGGCTGACCTCTGTCTGCCGCCCTCTGAACCGGACCCCCGGGAGCAGAGGAAGCCAGAGGCTCACAGAGGCCGAGGCCCATGCTAACTGGCTCGTGGAGGTGGGCCCGGACCTCCTCCCCCGCCCGCGTCCCCTCTCTCTTGCTGAGCCTGCTGTCGGGGAGCAGCGCAGACCCACGTCCTGGCCCCTGCGGCCACTGGGCCTTACTTGCGCACTTTCATGGCTTCCTCGTTGTCGGGACGGAAGAAGCTGTAGGAGCTGTACTGCTTCACGGCCTCCCGGCGGTACTCGCCAACGTTGAACACTGCAGAGGCAGACACAAGGACCCTCCGCTGAGCCCCAGGGACGAGGGAGCCACACACACAATCAGGAGCTCTCTCGAAAACAGGAAACCACACCGACACACCAACGCCAACCTGAGCATGATGGCACTAGAACAGGGACACCGGAAAGCAGACCCCGACTGGCAGGGCCGAGTCGGGAAGGCAGCCCAGACCCAGTGCTGCTCAGGGTGGCCCGCTTTCCCACTGCCCTGGGGCGGTCCAGCTTCGTGAAGCCGTGCAAAGGGGTGACAGGGCAAGGATTTCTGCACCCGGTCCCCAGCAGAGCATGGGGTCTCACGCTGCCTGCAGGGTCCAGGTCGACCATTCTCCTGCTGACCCAGCAGCCCACGCCCAGCAGAAGCACAGAGCACTGGCGGGCACTCACTGATGACACATGGCACCGGGCACCATGGGGGACAGCAGATGCCAGAATGAGTTCAGCTGACCCCATGACCCTTGCCGTGTTGTTGGAAAGACCAGTCATAAAAAGGTAACCAACAGCATAGAGCTCAAGGCACAGAGCCCATGACAGTCAATGGGAGACTGTCACAACGAAGTGCTATTGGAACTTGAGAGGCACAGATCCCCACAGACTCTGTGGCCAGAGACGGCTTCCTGAAGGAGGGGAGAGCTGAGCTGGGCGGCTGGCAGGGCAGCGGGGGACGACAGAGCAGCAGGGGGGAAACATCCCAACACAAAGTCAGGGAACGGAGACAGCGGGGTGAGCGACACAGCCAGAAAGGGACTCTCACAACACCGGGGACAGGCCCGCCCCACAGCGGCCCTGCAAGGTCCCAGCAGCCACTTTTTCCCGGTGTCAGGGGTCGGTGAGCAAGACGGCAGAAATCAACGTGACCATGGCCCGGCCCATGGCCTCACCTTTCGTGGGCACGCCGATCCAGTTGAGGTAGCGAGTCAGCTTCTTCGAGATGTAGGTCTTCCCACGGGCTGGGAGGCCCACCATGACGATCACGGTGGGGGAGTTGGTCAGCTTCGGCCCACAGGCTGTGGGGGAGCAGAGAAGGGGGTTAGCCACGGAGCAGTGCACGCAGATGATCAAAATCCCGTGCCCCACAGCGAACTGGCAAATTCTGCAGAAATTGTGATTTCATTCCCACCTCAAAACCCCGGGTGTTTGACAGTCTAGTGGGGCTGAGACCGTCCCCTGTTGACCAGAGGACCCTCCCCCCCTACCCAGTTACATGTCTCCATCTTGCTTTCAGGTCATGGGTGGCAAGGGCTGTCCCAAGCCCAGATACCAGCCCAATCCCTGAGGGCCCTAAACCCAGCCAGGAACCCCGTTATGAACCCCACAGGAGAAAGCACTTTGTGGGGGAGCATAAGGAAGGGCCCCCCCCCCCACCAACACGAATGAGGGTGAGGTTAACAGTAGTGGAGGTGTTTCAATACGAGATAAAACACCAGGGAGAGAGGTTTCCCCTGGGTTTTAAGAAAGGAACCCAGAGAACCCTGTTCTGGACATTTAAGGTATAGTATTTCCTTGGCTGGTGCCTTCCCTTGAGACTCTAAGGGGACTCCAGCATCCTGATGACAAGAGTGCCAGCGGCCGCCCGCTGGGAGCAAGAGACCGGCCACCTGCCCTCCCCCACCCAGCCCAGCAACCCTGCCTGGGCCTGCCAGCTGCCACAGTCAGGCTAGCTCTCCCGGTCAGCTACGTGCCATTGCTTCCCGAACACCGGCCACACGGATGCAGGCAAAGCTACTGAGAGCAAACCAAAGATCTAGGCAGAAGTCAGGTTCAGACAGGGGCCTTGTCTCTTTCTAAGCAGGCAAGTGCCAGATGGCGAAGGAAGGAGAGCCACCAGGCCACCGAGAGGCACAGGCTTGAAGGAGGGCACAAACTGGACGCCCCAGTACGGTCCCATGCTCAGCCTGTGACCAAACTGAGATCACAAGTGCCAACACCCACCATGTCATTCTAGGAGCTGCTCCCTGGACCCGTGGGCTGTGGGCAAGGAGGAAGGAAACAAAGCACGGAGGGGGCTGCTGCTTTCATGTGTTAGACCATCGGCGACCTTCTCCATGCAGAGTGAGGAGGAAGAAAGGCCATCAGAAGCCAGGAGACATTCAGGAGCCACAAAAACCCTTGACTGGGATTCCCCAGTTCCCAGGGGCTGGAGACAAGTTTGTAGAAAACAGGCCAGGATGAGCACACAAATGGAGCAAAGGAGCGCCAGTGGGCTTTCTTGAGTCCAAGGAGCAAGAAGAGAAAGGTGATGGCCTTCCTGAAAACCAGGAGGGACACAAGACAGACCCTGCTGTTTGCGCTGTGGCTGTTGCAGGCGACTCACGAGTAAAGTCTGCTCACTTAGGCCCGAAAACAACATTCAATCTACTAATCCTTCTCCCAAGCCCACTCTGGCTCTCCTCTCTCCTATCCGATTTCTCCACCATGCCACTGCTCCCAAGAGTATCCGAATAGGCGGGGACCAGCGGACACACACTCTCTCCCTCCCTTCCTCTCTCCACCACCCCAGCTGTGCACGTGCATGGGATACTTGTGATGGACTCATGCCAAGTAAGTAGAGACAGAGGCTGACCGATTTATCAAATGGGGGATTAGTTCTACTATCAAGTCATCATAGGCACAAATCCCTGGCAGTCGATCCTTCGGGAGGAAAAAAACCACATGGACATGGCAGAGGAAAGATCTTAAGCCACGGATTCAAGTTGAATCTCAAACCCAAATAAGTCATCACTCTTTTATTCGGCAAAGCAGAGGCCATTCCCCCTATTCCTTCAGCTTCTCGTACAAGATTCAGCAAAACTGTGAGAGGGGCCGCAGCCATCCCTCTCTCCTGGCACTCCTGGGTCTCAGAGCAAGGAAACCTTTTGACTAAACCTGTGAGTCTTACTCTCCTTCACCCCTACCCGCTCTTTTTTTAAACCCACAGGTGATCTCAAATGCCTTCATGCTATCATCACCTGCCCCTGCCTCAGTTCCCCCCCAGGCCCTCGGTTTCTTCTTCTCTGCAGACCTTTATTAACCCATGGAAGAAGAGTGCCTCCTCCTACCTCTCCTACCACACTCGCTGACGCTCTGCTCTCTCCTCCTCTCCCCCAACAGCATTAACACCGTTTTCCCAAAAGTTCCTATGTGTTTCATTTCATCTTATACACCTGTGTAACATTGTAACTTCTTTTCAACCACCCCCCCCAAAATTTTTATACTCGCATGTATTCAGATGTCCACAGAAGCATGTTTAAGGGGATACACATACGTTCGCTACGTTGAAGGGTGAAAGATGGCTGGGTTCACAGACTATAAACCCCTTGACTGTGGTTTATGCAGGGAGAGGGATGGAGCTTAGGCTAAAAGCCTCATCCAGGGTTAAGGCTGACACTTGAGCAAGAGCTCGCAGAAAGTCCCCAAGTTCTGGGAGCTCACCCTCAACTCCTGTCACTGCATTCACTCATTCACCCAACGGACACACGTGCCCGGTGCCCTGCGAGCGCCAAGCATCATGTGGCCACAGTCCCTGCGTGGGCGAGCACCTGGTCCGGGGTGGGGAAGAGACAGAGTACGAGCACATAAATGCAGAGTCATTTCGGAGAGAGGAGCACTGGCGCTGGGGCTGGGTGTGGCCGGGGGGTGAGTCTGGACTGGGCAGCCGGAGTCCACGTCCCTGAGGAGCACCTGCGCTGAGGGCTGACTGTCCATGGCCAGTCACACCGCTGTCCCGGCCCGTCATGCACGCTGACCAGTAGACACAGCAAAGCAAATGACAACCAGGAGGCCAGCCGCTGAGGGCAGTGAGCGAGCGCCAGCCTATGGGGTCACCTGCGGGGTCAGTCCTAAAAATGGTCAGCTAGGTGGGCCGGGAGAAACCCCATGACCCTGCACAGAGGCTGCATCCGAGGGCTCCGGTTCTGGCCCTGCTCCCCAGATTAAGCGACTCACCTCTGGGAGAGCGGGTAATGCACGGCCACCAGCAGGCACCCAACAGCTGTCCTCACCCACCACACCGACACCCACAACCCATGCTCAGAAAAGAAACCGTTGGAAGATACTTCGCTGTTGCTCCCCTACCTCCTTCCACCCAAAGGCACTCCACCAAAGTGCCAACCACCAGAGACGCCAAGTCACTGGTGCTCTTTTCTGCAGGCAGGTCATCGGGCTTCGGTTCAAAGTTCCAGGAAAACGAATGGAAGGGGTGTTTCAAACGGAGGGCAAGCTGTGGGTGCGGACGGGGTCAATTCCCAAGCGGTCCCGCTGGGAGTCCCCCCACCCTGTGTCTACAGGAAGGTTTGCAGGAGCAAAGCGAACACTGTTCGCGAACACCTGCTGTGAGCCCGCCACCTCAGAAGGGCTCGCTGGGAGGGTTTCATGCACTTGGCCCTGGGGTATGAGAAGGCAGGCCCAGAAAGCTCTTCTGTCCCACTGCTGGATACCAAAGCATCCATTACTTTGTACGCACGCTGTAACTCATGCCTAACTAACCCTCGGCCACCGAACAGCCCTCCTAATCTGACGCAGCCTCTGACAACAATGGGGAGGCACTGGGCATTTTGGTGAATCATCGGACAACCTTGGGAGGCAAGCTGTAGAGTGGCTGAGAGGACAGCGCATGGAGTCAAAAAAACAGTGTTCGAGGCAGGGCCTCAGGGGCCCTGCCTCGAACCTTGGCCAAGCTCCTAGGGCTCTCCGTGTCTTAGTCTCCTTGCCCATGAAATGGAGGGATGCCTCATAAAGGTTCTTGGGAGGAGGACAAGGTGAACTACAAGGTCCTAAACGCACTACTTGCCCTTGCCCACCTGTCGTTTACTTCCTTGTCAGTTGCTTCCTGGTCAGTAAGTCCTGGCACGGCTTGCGATGGAAGGAAACTGCAGGCTGGGTCAGAGGATTTATCACCACACATGGGTGTAGCAACAAGACACCCAACTGATGTGCTTTACACACTGAAACATTGTCCAACGAGCCCATCTGGAACTTTCTGTTGTCGTCTGACTGTTCTCTGTACACGAACAGTGATGGTCACCATGCCATCTTTCTACTGAGGAGTTGCCTCAGAACCTCAGTTAGGACACCCTTAGAAAGATGGTAACAGGTTTAGAGGAAAACCCACCCAAGTTTCCAAATACCACTAAAGAAGGGGAGGAAGGTGATGGGGGAGGAAAAGGAACCAGGAAAGATTCTCCAAAAGGAAATACCCTCTTTTCCCCATTCTGCTGAGAGACAAATGTGATTTTTATCAACCCAGAAAGACACCACGATGATACGTTATGAAATAAGGTCATATAATAAATACCCAGGCTGCAGAGATTTTATAAGGAAGAATGTGTCTGAGACTACACCCCAGAACCACACACAGGGATTCCAGGAGTGGGCGGGGACAAGAGACTTAATCCACCAGCTTTAGCCCCCACACCCCTCTCCCCACCCCAGGCACACACCAGGCTCTAATGGTTCTCACAGGGATTTTAGGCAAATCTCTCATCTGCGTGTGAGACGTGCAGACTGATAGCATCTAATGGATGTGTCTCCGGACTCCGGAGGAAGCAAGCATAGCTGCACACTTGTCTCCCCAATTCTCACAATGGAGAGAACGCCAGCCAATCTCGGAACTTCACACCTCACCACAAACCTCGGGGGACAACTGAATGTGTTCACATGTGTACACGCTTACCTACAAACACGTGTGTACATACAGAGACCCCCACCTCTATTTGTATGGCCAATTACAGTTTACAAAGGGCTCCAGAAATACTGGTTTTATCCAAACGTCCAAAAGGGTGGGGTTGTTTCGGTGTCTCGCCATGGCCACATCTCCCTCCCGATTTAGGGCACTGTATTCCCCACTATCGGTCCGGGAATCCTATGGTCAGCCCCAGTGTAGAAAGCTAGTTAAGAGTTTATCTGAAAGGGCTGGGTGCCAGAAACAGACCTGCAAAGCCCCCGCCCTTGGCTACCTCGCAAAAAAAAAAAAAAGCAGTTCTTAGGGCTTCTGTGGCCCAGGTCTGGCTGAGGGGATAAGCTGGTGGAGAAGCAGCCCCCCCCCCCCCCCCCGCGTCGGGAGCCCCATGCCAGGTCCCCATCACCAGGATGACCTAGAAGCACCCCAGAGCCAGCTCTCCCCACCTCCTGTCTGGGGCGGGGAGGGGGTGTTGGTGATTCAGACCTGGGCAAAGCCTGAGGTGGCAAGATGTCCCCATGGCCTCAGTGACCATCCCCAGGGAAACGTGGCAGCAGGAGAGGCCACCAGGCGGCCTGGCACTCAGGAGCCATCACTGCCTAGAAGCACTTTGAGGATCTGCCCACAGGATCCCATGTTTCCCTTTGAGGAAACCTGACCCTGTCTGAAGCGGAACACCCAGCACCGGACTGACCCTATGCACCCTCCACAGCAGGTGTTGCCTTCAAATCCCTGGGACCGCCCTTCTAATAGGTGCCTGTCTCCGCAGCTTAGGGACAGAGCCCACGGTAAAAGGCAAACCTTTCCAAAGCATGAGCCACGATGACAGGGCAGGAAGAGGAACTGCCGGCAGATTCCAAGCACAGCACGGTGGACTGTGTGCGCGTGTGCGCGTGTGTGCGCGTGTGTGCGCTCACGCACTCGCGCAAAATGCAGCCGAATGTGCGGTCTCTGATCCAGAGACCCTCCCCAAACCCAGGAGCACAGGCTTGGTTCCCGGCAGTTCTCTTCTCGCCCCCAGAGCAGGAACTGGACGGGGAAGCCGGGAGAGGGAGGGAGGGAAAGGAGAAAGAAAATACACTGAAGAAAAAGGAGAGAGCGAGGAGATAGGGAGGGAGAGAGGAAGCAGACAGAAACAGAGAAGTGGGGAATAAAGATACGCAGAAGAGAGAAACAGGAGATGGAAATATAGAGAAGGAACAGAACGATGCAAAGCGGGAGAGAGAGGCGATGAGGAGGGAGGGAGAAAGGCGGAGTGCAGGGGAGGTAGCCAAGGCAGAGAAAGGGTGGGGAAAGACCTGCCGAGTCCTTCGGCAGAAGTAGGCCGGGCTGGGGGACCGCCCGGGGGGCGTCCCTGGCCAAGCGTCCCCGCAGCAAAGGCTTCCCGCCCGGTTCTGCGCGCCGGCCCCCCGCGCTCCGGAGCCGAGGCCGGGACGCGCTCGGACTTTCCGAGCCCCCCCCCCACCCCCCGGGCGCTCCCGGCGCGAGCCGAGCGGAACACGGCTGGGCGGCGGGCCCGGCCACAGCGCCCCCGACGCCGGCCAGGGGAGGCGCAGCGTCCGCGCCCCACCCGCGCCGTCCCCGCCCCGCGGCCTCAGCGACGGGACCCGCCCGCCCGCGGGGAGGAGCGGGAAGCGCCCCGGCCCGGCCCGCGGGGACGGCGGAGGAGGGCGGCGCCGGGCCCGGCACCAGCGCGCCGGAGGAGCGCAGTCGCCACTACAGCGCCCCGCCAGCGCCCGCCACACAATGGCAGGGCTCTCCACGCGGCGCGCCGCTCCCCTGCAGCCCGGCCCCCGCGCGAATCTGCACTCACATCTGGGCAGCGAGGGGCGGTGGTCGACGGGGATCCAGATCTTCTGCACTCGGCTCTGAGTCAGCTCCAAGGGCATCTTCACAGCCTAGACTCGGCGGCCCTCCGCCCCCCGCGAACAGTTCAGACTTGGGGAGGAGAGCAGCCTGTCGACCCCCGAAACAAAGGGGAAGGGGGGGTGCGTGCGCGGGAGCGCGGCTCGGGAGCTCTCCCGTGCGCTTTTTGGAAACGTGCTTTGTGCTAAATCACGAACGCCCTCCCGGGGCGTGGGGCTCCACGGGCGCGGCGACAGGGCAGGGGGTTAGGGCTGTGCTCGCAGCTGCCACCCGGCCGGGCGCGTCTACTCGGGAAGCCACCGGGATACTCGGAGCGCCGTGACAGCCGCGGTCCCCGGGTGCCGGCTCGAGCCGAGGTCCTACCCTCTCGCTCGCCGCCTCTCCAGCTCTGCTAGGCTGCAGCGCACCGTGCCCGGGCTTTTAAGAGTCACGACCGGCAGCTACGCGCACGTCAGCCTCGGGGCGGGGACGCATTCTTCGGGATCCAGCCCTCTTTCACGTGGGGGTGGGCCGGCCCGGAGCCAGCCTGCTGCCGCCCCCTGCAGCTCAGTCGCAGCAGCGCGCTTTGCGGCTGCCATCGCGGTGAGGACGCCCTCAACTCAGCTCTGGCCGAAAAGTCCCACTCGCTGAGCTTCGTCCTCCGTCCCCTGAAGATGACTGGCCTGCTTCCCAGAATAATGACCTCAGCGGCGCTGGGAAACAAGAAGCGGAACAGTCCAGTGTGGTGCGTGGACCCCCGCAGCCAAATCACCTTGGATGCTGGTTAAAATGCATCCTGCTGACTCAGCCTCTCTGGGAGTGAGACCCCCCCCCCCCAAAACCCCACATTCTTAACACGCGATCCACGTTAGGCATCCTCAAGTTGAAGACCCGGGCTTAGAGCTACAGGTTGGACAGAGATTGGGGGATTCGGGGGTGGGGGGGGGGTCTCTGCTACCTTAGAGAGTAAGCCAGAACGGGGATGATGAGAGCTCCTGTGTGACATAGGTCTCTGGGTCATCCCTTGCCAAAGCTGCTCCCTGAAAATAACTGTGAGTCTCACCCACCACGACTCCTGCTACCCGTGGGGAGGGGGCTTCCCTGGTCCTTCTTCCTCCCCACACCCACTTTCCTAAGTCCCTTGGAAACCTTGAGTTGTGCGGAACATTGCTCCCCCAACACCCAGCCCTGAGAGCTGGAACCTGGTCTTCTCCCTGCCTCCCCCGCCCCCGCCCGCTGCTGAGAGACCCAAGGGGCTGGGCACCAGAAGGGGACAGGAAAGCCCCGGAGGCCGGACTGAAATGGACGGAGTCCTATTGATCTTTGTGATCACCATTTACTATTTTCAATATACCCTAATCTCTCTGAGTAGAAGAGGAGGGAAAACTAGAGCCTCTTCGGACCTGCAATTCATTACCTGACTGTAAGCCCCCGGAAAACTACTGGGAGGTGGCACCTTAATTGGGCAGATCCCTAAAATTCATGACATTTATCCAGCACAGCTCACATCTCTTCCTCGCCATTTTTGAGGGGCGCGGGGTGTATGTGTTTCCTTCCTCCACGGTCCTCGGAGTCCTGCATCAGCTAGGGACACGGGACAGTCGCGTGGTCAGGCAAGTGCCCACCCTGTGAAGATCCGGGTGGCTTTTAGCGGGGACTGCCGCCCGCATGGTGGTCTTCCATGCATGTGGCTTCTGCACGCCGCGCGTCAGCACAGAAGCGGGGCCCTGCCTTGCAGAGGTGCATACCTCCCCCTGAGATTGTGCTGTGATTGGAAGGAAGAAGGCGGCGCTCCCTGAAATCCACACGGCCGCAGAACAGTCTGCGCAGAGCCTGCCACACGTCTCTCACGTCCCGCATGGCTCCGCCGGACCGCGCCCGCCTGGCGGCCCGCGCAGCTGCTCCCGCCCCGCCCCTCCTGGGCCTCCCTCCCGGGTCCTCCCTCCCTTCCCTGCACCCCAGCCCGCCCAGGGGCCGGGAGTGCCCAGCGTCGCCCACCGGGCGGGTGTCCCGGACCCCCACTCCGGGCACCCCCGCCCAGCCAGGGCCTTCCCCACCCCCTCTCCGCACCCCCAGCCGGCCCAGGGGCCACGACCGCCCCAACGAAGCCCGCAGCGCCGGTACTCCAGACCCCACCCCCCACCCCCCCCGCCCCCCCGCGCCGGGGCACGCACCCCCCCCCCCCCCCCCCCCCCGCCATGGCCCTCCCCGGAGTCCCGCTCCCCCTGACAGCTTTGCTGACTGTCTGGTTTCGGTGCTCGGGCAGCTGTTCAGAAACCCGAGTGCATTGCATTGCACTTGTTTTTCTGCAGTGGGAGCAAATGCCAGAGATGACACCCTATAACTCCCCAGGGAGAGTCCCACTCCACTCCTGAAACAAGAGTGGGCTGATCCAAAGAGAAAAACAGCAGCAAGCCAGCGCCGGAGCCCTGGGGAAAGTTGCTGGCTGGGGTTCCTGGGGTTTGGGAGGAGGCCCCCTGCAGCTGCACCCCTCCATGCTTGCACACTTGCCTCCCCCGGGGAAGAATCGGTGTGCCTGCTACTACCCCATCGGATTTTTTGCACACACAGGCAGGGCATGGGAACGAGGTGGCACTCTTCCAAGCTCCAAGCTTGCGAACAGCTGTGGGTTCAGCCCAGGGAGAGTGGGGTCCTTGCTAGCGGAGGCACGTCTTTAATGTGCTGACCCAGATAATGTGCCTGGCAGGGTCCAGTTCTGAGGGCACCAAGCAGTGGAAGTTCCTGGGTAAGCACTGGCACACGCCACCAGACCCCTCACTGGCCCTGCCTGTGTGTCAACAATGCCTTGCACTTGTGTGTCCATGGCTACAGAGCAAAGACGAAATTCTTCCTCCTCGCCGCCTGCACCTGATAGGGGAACAGGGGAACAGAAGTTCACTTAAACCGCCCCCCCCCCCGATTCTGATGTCTAAGTGCAAACAATGTGAGGCAAGGTGGTGTTCAAGGAGGACTTCACACTTGAAAATAAAGCAAGGGGACAGCTAGAATGGGTGTGGCATTTGCAACCCTCAAGTACATTAGGATAGTGTCCCTGTGAGGAGAAAATTGCCTCGTTGCAAAACTGTTTATGAACTCCAAGAATGCACTAGTTCAGAGTTATGGATTTAGACCTCCTCCTAACTCTTTCCCTAGTTCTGCTAATGGCTCCATCCTCTACCATCTCCCCGTCACCCACTTAAACATGCAGCCCTTCAGAAAAGGCTGCAGAGGACATAAAATCTTCTGTAATACATCCATATTTCACAGACAGGACAGCTCCAAGTACTGGGGGAGATTCCACGGTCGGGGCACAAGTAGGGCTACATGGAACCTTCCAGATGAGTCAGCCCTTTGTGTTAGTTGAGGAAAGGGAAGTTTAGAGATGAGAGGGGTTAATGAACTAGGTCAAAGGGCAAGACTGCCGTTATTAACTCTGTTCCCGGACTGACACAGACCTCTTCTGATAGTTCCCCAGGGGGACTCGTGATGGACGCAGTTTCAGCCCAGGGTGCTGAGTGGAGTCTGGTGAAGGGAAGACCGCCCTGTGCTTCAGACCTTGTCACCCAGAACAGCTGAGCCATTGGATGGGAAAGAACAGAGAAAGACCTTCTTGCACAATAATGTCTGGTGCAGGTGCTTATAGAGAATTCTCTAGCGCAGCGGAGACTCAGAAAACGATGGTGGAAATGATTGCTGGCCAACGTCATCTAACCCTTACCCTTGCTCCCCAGTGGGGCTAGACAACAGCAAAAAGCAAACCCCACTTCCAAGATCTTATGCCAGCGAGCCAGACTGCAAACCAGGCCATACCCACCTGCTCCCCCTTGAGAGAATGCAAGCACAAGCCGCGACAGGCTGGGAGCCATCCGAAGTTGTTAATTAGACATGAATTGTCGTCATTTGCTCCTTTAACAATCCCATGTCTGAGAGAGTGAAGTGAGACACCAAATAAAAGACTGAAATAAACCCTTACCTCACCATCCATCCAAAAACGAGAGAGAGGGTGATTTTTTTTTAAATGTTTGTCAGTGGTAGGTACATGAATGGGAACACGGACACAGATGTCCACACGATGCCACCTCGGTGGGTTGAAAAACCAACTCAAAACTTGCACGGGGAGGTTTATGCCATCTCCGTTCATAATCACCAAAAAGTGGAAGCAGCCAAGATGTGCTCTGGGAGGTGAATGGATGAATAAACAGGGGTCCACCCAGACAATGGGATTATCATTCAGCACTACAAAGAAATGAGCCATCAAGCCATGAAAAGACATGGAGACCTGTGTGTGTGTTATGGAGTGAAAGAAGCCAGTCTGAAAAGGCTCCCCGCTGTACGATTCCAAGTCTGTGACATCCCGGACCAGGCACAGCTATGGAGACAGTAAAATGATCAGTGGTCTCCAAGGGTCGGGGGAAGAAACGGTTAAGAGGAGAAACACAGGGTTGTGCAGGGCTGTGAAACCACTCTTTGGGCTACCGTAATGCTGGATACACGTCATTTATCCAAACCCCTAGAATGTCTAACGCGAGGAGTGAGCCCCGAGGTAAACTGGGGACTTCAGGAGATGGTGACACATCTGCGCACGTCATCCTTAGTCAAAATGCTCCAGCTGTTGAGTGATGTGAACAATGTGGGAGGCTGCACACGTGTGGGGACAGGGACATACGACAGCTCTACACGTTCCTCTCAACTTTGCTGCGAACCTAAAACTGCTCCAAAAAATAGAGTCTATTTTAAAAATTGCTATGTCTCGGGACGCCTGGGTGGCTCAGTTGGTTAAGCGACTGCCTTCAGCTCAGGTCATGATCCTGGAGTCCCGGGATCGAGGCCCATATCGGGCTCCCTGCTCAACAGGGAGTCTGCTTCTCCCTCTGACCCTCCCACTTCTCATGCTCATTCTCTCTCTCACACTCTCTCTCTCAAATAAATAAGCAAAATCTTTTTTAAAAAATTGCTATGTTCCTGCCAGTGCCATACACTTGTCTCCAAACAAGGGGGCTTACATGTCTCATGATGGGGCTGGGACAACATTCCTCCGTGGCCACAGCCGGGCTCCATGTAAACAGATGCAAAGGGGGCACCCCAAGTCCCGCTGAACCCTACAGCAAGTTTCTATCTCCTTCTGCCCAGGCTATGTTTCTCCACTTTCCTTTCTCCAGACCTTTCCGTTCCTTAGGGCACGCCCCTGAGCTTGAGACCAGGCTTTTAAAACTGCCCATTGGTGTTTCTTATCCTGTATTGAGCCCAGCTGCTGCTCTCAGAGTATCTTATACTCCTCATCCACCTCCTCATCCAATACCAAGACATAAATTATTTGTGTTTTAAAAGTATTATTTTGTGGCTTCAAAATATTTGTGCTTTCTAAAAACCAGATATCCTACAGTCTAGTTCATGGGATCAAACCCAT